CAACCCAAACCAGTCTATGATTCTATGAGATCTCTCTTTCCAGTATTTTTAAAACCAACCCACCCCACCCAAGATCCAGTTGAAGGTGGCCTGGTTCCCCCTCACGGCTGGTTGCCCAGCCAGCAGCGATGGCTCCAAAAAAGCTGCTACAGAACAAGTCAGCGGATGATTAAAGACAGCCGAGGCACGTCCCTCTCCTCTCTGGAGACTCCAAGCTCTGCTCTCCCAAACCCCACCCTTCCAGGCAGCACTTTTCCTACAGTAAAACCTCTCACCCTCCCCTCCATCTCCATCCCCGTGGGTGCGGGGCGGTGCGAGCCGGGGCGCAGGCACCATTTATGGCTCTGGGTGCTGTGTCCTGAGCCCGGAGCTGCCTGTTTTCCCTCTCCCTATATGGAGAAGCTGCTGCGGGAAGGGAAGCTGCTGCCTGACCTGAATTAGAAGCAGTTCAACATCTGTATGAAACGGCTGCTTTCCTTTCACTGAGCTAATTAAGTTAAAGCCAGGCCTTGGATTGGTTCTGTAGTGAAGGGAATAATTTAAAGAGAACAAATTTCCCATTAAATCCTAATTTTTTTATTCTTTGCCAGGATATGTGCATGGTTATAATTTCCTTTATGGTGGTAAAGTCATGCAGAGGAAGAACAGAGCATAAGCAGAAGATCTCTGTATCAGGAAGTCAATAATTCATATCTGACAGTAATAAAAACCACCTTTCCTGGAAAAAGGCAGCTCAGTCTTTGCCACGTAGGTCCTGCTTTTCACTTGGGTGCTGTGTGAGGCCGCAGAGGGTGGGCTGCATCAGGTGTGGGATCTCCAACCCCTCTGAGGCTTCTCCTTGAGATGAGCAAGGGCTGCAGGGTCACAGCTCTCCAGAGACCTTACCTGCTGCTGCTGAAACCCAGAGTGGAGCAGAGCAGAAGGTTTTTTGGTGGTTTTGGGGGGGTTTTTTCTTTGTTTTTTTTGATTATTTTAATTTTTGGCTTTTTTTGTGTGTGTTTTTTTCCAAAGAAACACGAGCCAAAATTACCTTATGATCCTAATGATGATATTATGAGATCTCTGTTGGGCAGTCCCCGCAGCGAGGTGCATAGCCTACATGAGGAGGACAAAAACCTGGACTCTGGGAAGGGTGGGTGTGCTTCCAAGGAGAAAGGAAGCAGATTGTACCTCAAATATCCCTCCAGCAAACTTTTCTGCACCTGAAAAAACAACATTCCCCCAAATTAATTGTAAGGCCTGGACAACAGAGCCTCTGCAAGGGGACTTTAGGTTGGAGACCTTGAGGTTCACGAGGCTTGTGCGTGTATAGGGACAGTATCTTCAGACTTCAGCCTGTTCAGTTATACAGGAGCCAGGTCAAGGCTCAGATATGACTTTTAAAAGATACTTTTTTCTTCTAAGACTTTTCTTACTGCTTCCATTTTCAACCTGTTTTGCATCCCCTTGTTTCCACGTTGATCCCTGGAATTGCATAATGATCAGCAGAAAAAGCGGTTTGATTGATTTTGTTTTGCTTTCTCTCCCCCTCTTCCCTCTTGTGTGACAGATTAAAAAACAGCAACAAGATGTTTTAGGTTTCTTGGAAGCCAACAAAATTGAATTTGAGGAAAAGGATATCGCTGCCAATGAGGAGAATCGGAAATGGATGCGTGAGAACGTCCCTGAAGACAGCCGGCCAGCGAGCGGGAACCCCCTGCCACCCCGGCTCTTCAACGACAGCCGGTACCTGGGGGTAAGGGACGGCTCCAGTCTCCATCTCTGCTCATCCCACTCCTCTTCCTTGCTGCTATACCCTGTGCTTTGCTGTTGTAAGCAGCAAGAAAGGGCTTGGCCAGCTGTACCTACAAGTGTGCAAACTGTGAAGGGCGTGGAAGGAGACATTTACTCCTCCTCCTCTTGGGCTTTTAAGAATAATTGATTCTTGAATATTCCAGTTTTTGACACAGAGACTAAAATTTGGACCTGCTGATTCTCAGATCATTGTGCTGTTTATTAGAACAAGCCTACCACCACCTTGCAGTGTATATATATATTTTTTTTCTCCTGTGTTTTTTTTCCTCTTTTATGGCTCTGAAAGGTTGACAGTTTTTTTTACTTCTCACGTTCACCATGATTGTGAACTAAAACTTCACAGAAATCTGGCGCTGTTGCACCAACCTGATGTTCTACAGCAAGTTCAGAGATCTGTTCAGCCAACGTGGGGTTTGCCAATACGTGTGGATCCCAGATCACTCCATAGTCCATTCATCTTCCCAAATAAGTGCTCGTGTGCAGTGATGTCTGCCATGACCATGGATCTGTTTTCTGATCCTCCTTGGGATCAGTTTTGTGTGCTGCTTGCAAAATGAAGGCTGTCGTGGTTCACTTCCTCCAATGTCTTGAAGAGATTAAAACTCATATTGCAAATACAATTCCTACTTGTAATTATTTTAATGCTTGATCAAAAGTAAGTTGCCCTGCAGCACTTGTACTCAGCAGGCCATGCTTGAATGATTATTAGATTAACCGTTAATTTTTTAAGTTTTAAAACTTAATATCTTCTGAAAACTGCTCACAGGATGATGCATTCTTCTGGTGCTGGGTGTTGGTTTCCAAGTCATTCTGCAGTCTGGTCCTGACCTGCCAAGTCTGTAAGTCAGAACCTACCAGTTCTGGACCTTTGTGAGGCAGTTCTGTGGCTACTGAAAGAAATTATTCTCAATGCACCAGGATTTTTTTCTTGCTTGTAATAAAAGCAGAACTTGAAACAGTATCTACAGTGAGCTAAGGTACCTCTTGGCTCCCAAAATTGTACTGACTGTGACTGTGACATGGAAAAAGGTTGGTTTGGAGTGACAAATGTAATGATCAGTAGTTGTCTGCAGCTGAAAGGTGAGAAGGGGCTAGTGACAAAGAGCTGAAAATCCCTCTTCAGTTCTCTCTCTTTAAAAACAAACAAACAAACAAACAAAAAAAGAGGTAAATATTTTTATACCAGTAGGAAGTCCAGTTGTGACAGCATCTCCTTGCTCCCTTGGTGTACCAGAGCTTTAGGGATGCCAGCAGATCACTGTGCAGTTGTCCTTTATCGGTGAGATGTTGCCAAATTTCTGCTGCATCGCTGCGGCTGTGCAGCAGCTCAGGGCTTTACTCTGCAGTGATGTGGGACAGGAAGAGAAAAAGCTGTGTGCACCTTAGATCTGAAGCCTTGCTTACAGAATCCCAGAATCCCAGAGTGGTGGGGTGGGAAGGCAGCTCTGAAGATCATCCAGTCCAACCCCCCTGCCAAAGCAGGGTCACCCAGAGCAGGTTGCACAGGGCTGCATCCAGGTGGGTTTGGAATCTCTCCAGAGAAGGAGACTCCACAGCCTCTCTGGGCAGCCTGTCCCAGGGCTCTGCCACCCTCACAGTCAAGAAGTTTCTCCTCATGTTTCAGTGGAACCTCCTGTGTTCCAGTTTGTGCCTGTTGCCCCTTGTCCCATCGCTGGCCACCACTAGCAGAGATACTTCTAACATATCCCCACCTGCAACCCACGACAGTTTTGTATACAGTAATTTTGGAGAGAGGGGTATAGATGCTTCAGACCAGCGAGGGGTTTATTTCATCCCCAAAATTTTGATTGATATCACTTGAAACTTTGGAAGTTCGGTCCATTTGTGTAGTTGGATTCAAATTACTACAGTTCAGTTTTCAGGAAGGTAGAAGTTAATTCTGTGCCCACATGCTTGAACCTCTTTAGGTCTTTATCTGCTCCATCTCAAGCATGAGCTTCCCTGTTTGTTTCATCTGATGCAGCCTAACTGGCAGAGGAATGAGCACATTGACTTTTATTGGCCTGTGCACAGCAGAAAGGCTGGAACTGGAGATGCCATGCACGCTGGCACGAACCCTGCTCCTTAGTCACAGGCATTCCTTTCCTGGTAGATGCTCTGAAGCAGACTGCCGGACCATGCACCAGCAAGATAAACAACCCCTTTGTTATCAAGCAGCCCCAGTACTGTCAACAGAAGTTAATTTTCAGGGAGGATTGAACATAATCATACACATTTTTGTCTAAACTAGCACCCAAATGCTGCTTGTACAACAATGTCATCTCTAGGCAGCTTGAATCCTCAGTTTCCTCTGCTTTTTTCTGTTCCAGCTGCAACAGCCTCTGCTGAGAGCAGTCCCTGCTCTGAACACAGTGCTCTTTTCTAACAGCATTTGCTATATTTTTTCAGCTTTTGCCTACCAGACACAGGCATGTGAAGCAGCCTGCCCTTAATGGCAGCTCCCTCCCTGACTTCAGCCCCAGACTGAGCCTGCTCGGAGCTGCTGCCTTGCCTCCAGCTTCTCAGCCAGCATCAAAATATTCCTCCCAGTAAAGCTGGAGGAAGTTGGTAGTGTTGCTTCAGTTCAAAAGGGAGAGAAGGAAAAGTCATGAGAGAGCTATGTACTGAGTTTGGGAGTTGGAGTGAGGGATGTCTGTGGTAACTCGGACAGTGGTGGCCTTGCACAACCCTTCTGGGTTCCTTTGCTTGGCATTTGGCAACTGCTGTTGCTGAGCCATGCTGTGGGCTTTTTGCTTGCTCTTTCCTAACTTAGCAGACACTGAGCTGTGGTGTTTGGGCTCTGTACAGCACTGCATTCTACCTCAATAAGGTGTAGAGAAGTGGGGGTGGGTCTATTCAACCAAGGACCAAGGGACAGGACAAGAGGAAATGGGCTCCAGTTGTGGCCAGGGCAGTTGAGATGGGATGTGAGGAAGAATTTCTTTGCTGAAAGGGTTCTGAGGCATTGGAAGGGGTTGCCCAGGGCAGTGGTGGAGTCCCCATCCCTGGAGGGATTGAAGAGTTGTGTAGACATAGTGCTGAGGGACATGGGTTAGTCGGGGACTGGTCAGTGTTGGGTTCATGATGGGACTCGATGAGCTTCAAGGGCTTTTCCAATCCAGGCCATTCTGGGATTCTGTGATCCTGTAAATATAAAAATGGGCAGAGAAGGGAGCATTGAGGGTTTTTTAAAATTATTTCATTGTTTTTACCTTAATTTTCCTGGGAAGTGGCTGTGTGGACATTGAGACCAACTGAACAGTGCCACCTGATTTCCTTCATTTGTGTAGACTAATCTTTAATGGGAGACATGATGGGAAAGGATGTGCTCTCAGTTCACAGGTTGAAATTTAACTTCTAACAGGTTTAAGAGTTAATGTCCATAGTTGCACAGTCACCATTACTAATCAGTAATTAGCAGTGATATCTGATGACAAGGTAGGGGCTCAGCCTCCTGCAGAAGGGACATCCACACCAGACCAGTGCTGACAGCTGCCTTGCTATGGAAGCTGTCCCTCTGGGAAAGGTGGAAGCATCTCAGAGCAGCATCTTGTTGCTGCAGGTGGTGCAATTCCCAGCTTGTCCCTTTTCAGACAGTATCATTTCTGTGCTCTCAGTGCTAATGACAAATACCCGAGGTGATGCTCAGAATTCTGCACTGGGCCACAGGAAGCAGTTTGCTCGGTGCGGGTTGGGTAACGCTCCAAACTGAACTGTGATGACTTCTGATGATTCATACTTCTGTCTTTTGTTTCCACCTCCCTCCCTGACTCCCATGCTGAAGGACTACGAAGCTTTCTTTGAAGCTCGAGAGAACAATGCAGTATATGCATTTTTAGGCTTGACTGCACCACCTGGTTCAAAGGTAGGTGTGTCCTTTTCTCACCATAAACCACAACCTGCATTTTACACCTTGTTCTTCTCTACTCACAGTTAAGATATTTTATGTGTTCTGTGGTTGTCCCCATCAATCTACCTGTTGGTCTGATAGCCAGAGACTAACTTCAGGCTTCAGCATCACAGCAACACGCTGTTGTTATGTGCTGGTTTATTTGGAGGATGCTGTGTTCCCTGGAGGCATCTTCCTCCCCCACCTTTTACCAGACAAACTCCGTGTTCAGTACAGATGCTCTTTTGGTATCCTCGCTGCAGAGCCACCCTGCTCTTTCTGAAGTTAATGGAAAAGCTTTTCTTGCTTTGGAAAGAAGAGCTGGGTCAAGTTCTTCACTAGTAATAATTGTCTCTTACCATTGGAATTTTTTTTTTAATTGTACACTCTGGGGACAAAGGAAAGAGGAGTTAATATTGGTACTAAAGAACGCACAAGAAATCTAGGGGAAAAAAATTGTCACAAAACCAAAGAATTATTTCAGTTCAATGAAAAAACTTAATTCATGTGAAGTTTTGATGAGATTTTTGTACTAGAAAATACCTTCAAACCAGAGTCACTGTTTTTGAAATAACGTGTTCTTACTTCAGAGTAATTTTTTCCTCCAGCTTGTTATCCGGAGCCTTGTTTTCCTTTGCCAATTACAAACTGGGTTGCTGCTTTATGGATGCAATGGGCTGGAATTCTCCTTTTGATTTTGATAGGATAGGACAAGCCTGCTTTATACGTTTCACTTGACAGCAGCAGGATCCTCCAGGTCACTTCCAGCTTTCTTCTTCCAGTGGATAAACACGCTGTTTCCTTTCAACTTTATTCAAGTAAAAGCTGAAGGTCACGCTATGCACATCACCAAGAGACCTAATTTTAAAGGTGGACAATGATCCATCAGTAATAAGAATTACAGATTGTGAGTCAGATTTGAAACAGTTTTGGGAGCCAAATTAATTTCTAGCAGTAGCTCTGCTAATGTGAATGGTGCAGTGAGGAAAATCTCTGCCTCGTACAGAGAGCTGCAGAGAGCAGAACCTGCGATAGGTGCCCCAGCATCCCGCGTCGCTGGCGTCAGGAGACCAGCTGCACGTGGTGTGTTAGTCACCTAAATCTGATTGAAGTTCCTTGGAACATCTGCACAGCGCTGCACAAAAGAGAATGCAGGATGGAGCCAAGGAGTGAGGAGGCAGCTCTGAGACCACAGAGGCCACATCTGGAATATTGTGTCCAGTCATCCATCCAGCAGGATGACCATGAGCCAGCACTGTGCCCTCGTGGCCAGGAAGGCCTATGGCATCCTGGGGTCCATTAGAAGGGGTGTGGTTAGTAGGTCAAGAGAGGTTCTCCTCCCCCTCTACTCTGCCCTGTTGAGGCCACATCTGGAATATTGTGTCCAGTTCTGGGCCCCACAGTTCAAGAAGGACAGGGAACTGCTGGAGAGAGTCCAGCACAGAGCCACCAAGATGGTGAAGGGAGTGGAGCATCTCCCTGCTGAGGAAAGGCTGAGGGAGCTGGGGCTCTTTAGCTTGGAGAAGAGGAGACTGAGGGGTCACCTCATTAATGTTTATCAATATGTAAAGGGTGAATGTCAGGAGGATGGAGCCAGGCTCTTCTCAGTGATGCCCAATGGTAGGACAAGGGGCAATGGGTGTGAGCTGGAACACAGGAGGTTCTGCTTAAACTTGAGAAGAAACTTCTTTACAGTGAGGGTGCCAGAGCCCTGGGACAGGCTGCCCAGGGAGGGTGTGGAGTCTCCTTCTCTGGAGACATTCAAGACCCGCCTGGACGCCTTCCTGTGTGATCTCATTTAGGTTCCTGCTCTGGCAGGGGGGTTGGACTGGATGATCTTTCGAGGTCCCTTCCAGTCCCTCCCATTCTGTGATTCTGTGACGCACGAGAGCCCGTGCGATTCCCCTCACAGCCAAGATCTGTGAGGTGCAGTGGTCCTGGAGAGCAGTCGCTGCTGTCATGAATCAGGTCATCTCTCTCTGTAACATTTATGAACATCGCTGCATGGCTATGAGTTGCTCCAATTCTGTCCTAAGGGGTGGTTTTTAAGGATAAGGTAAGTTTTAAAAGGGAGATACATAATGTATTCGTACTCTGCTGAATTTTCCTATTGCTTGCTGCAGCTGGGAGAGGTGCAGTTGTGCCAAGGAAGATGACCTTTGCATAAATGACCTTGTACCCAGAGCATTCTGCTCTTGGTCTGACTTTTGGTATCTGTTCCACAATTACATGATGTCAAATTAAGCTGATTGCCTGCTGCTGAGGAGGAGAAACTGATTTGTAGATGCTGAAATTGGCATTTACAGTGTAGCTGCCTGCAGCTTGGATAGAATATTGGATAGAGTATTGACACTGCATCTGTCTCTGTTGCTACATAAAGTGGAAGGAGTCTGGGATCAACCCGTGTGCAATTGCAAGAGGATTTTGACAGGAAACCTCCATTAAATGTCATTATAGGAGATTGGGAAAGTTGCAATATGGGTGGGTTTGGGCAAGTAGCTGAGTCACCACTCCTAGAGGTGTTTAAAAGAGGTGTAGATGTGGCACGTAGGGAACATGGTTTAGCGGTGGACTTGGTAGTGTTGGGTTTATGGTTGGACTTGATGATCTTAAAGGTCTTTTCCAACCTAAATGATTCTATGATTAAAGGGAAAGGATTTTGTGAGTTAAAGGCTGTGATGAATTATTTCAGGACTGAGAACAGGGAGGAACCTCAAGGAAATGTATGTAAGAGGGAGAGGGTCAGGTCTGAAAAGCTGAGCCAGGTAACTTGGAGGACCATGCCCAAGGAAATGGAGTTTGACCTTCAAGACAAATAAGTTAGCATGTTCCCTGAGTTAATTGCACCCCCTTTCCTAGAGATGAGGGAAATGCCTCTCCATCCTACTGCTACCTGTTATGAACATGAGGACTTTGTCCTGTGTTTTCTGGCAAAAGCAAAAAAAAAAAAGCAGATTTCACTCCTGTAGTGCCTACGCCTGGTTAACGGAGTTGTTACAAAGCCAAGAGAACCCTCTCCTCCTCCTTAGTGTTCAAAGAACCACTTGTCTTTCAGAGAATACCAAACATCCTTTTTTTTTTTCCCAGGCTTTGTAGTCCTTTTTAATCTTTCCTTCCTTCTTCACCTGCCTTTTCTACCATGAACTGATAGGATTCCCCTGCACGAGGAGCGTGGCTGCGCGGTGGCATCCCAGCTCCAATCTTTGACCCAGGACGTGCAGCCAGAGGAGCAGAGCGCAGGCTGGGGCGCGGCAGACCTGAGCCAGAGGTCTGAGGAAAGCTGTTCCCACGCCCCTGAGTTAAAAAGGCAGCACGATGGGAGGCAGAGAGCCAGGAAAACCAGAGTGATCCACCACGGCTCAGATAACAGAGATATGCGTGGTACTTCCTGGGGTCACCCACTGTGTCCTCACTCTTAAAAGTCTTCCAGGCTTCTTGGAAATTCCCTGCTTAGTCTTTCTTCCTCTTGTTTTTTATTTGTTGAGCATAGTGGCTCAGGTTAACAATGATATTGTTGAGTCTGTTATCTCCAGTATTTCGATTCAGTCACCAAAGCAAACAACTCCATTACATACAAGTTGAGTTTAGCAGATGTCAAAGTTCTTCCTTTAAAATAAGCCACGCTGTCCACCCCGAGAGCACTGTCACTGTTCATCTGTTTGCAGGCCACGTTGCTGCTCAGAGCTAATTAAATTAATCTTCAGTCAAAAGTACATTTGTAGAAACCATTTTCAGAAAAAAACCAACCTTGTGCATTTCTTCTGTTGTCATTCTGTTCCCATTCGTGGCCACCTTACCAAGGTTGAAAGAAGACTGAAAAATGGCTGGCTACTGGTTTTGAATGTTTTTTTCTGAAACATACTGAATCATAGAATGGTTTGGATTGGAAGGGACCTTAAAGATCATCTAGATATGTACTGAGAATTGTTAGAGGTGAGCTGATGTGTCTGCTGAACTGCTTCATCTCAGAAGCTTCACAGGAATGTTTTCATGTAGCCAAAGGGCACCAGATCTGTCCAGGTCCCTCGGAGAGGTGTGAGTTTGGAGCCCTGGGTGTGGAGAGCAGGTTGTAGGCAGGAGCAGTTCTCAGGAGGAACATGAGGAGCTGGGATTACTGCACAGTGCTGGTGCCAGGACAGACCTGCTGCCAGCCCAGGACACAGCTCACACGTGGGTCTTCTGCTGGAGCTGTGTCTAAGGACTCGCAGGCAGCTCCAGTGACCCTTCTGGAAGGCAAAAGCTAAGTCCTGGCTTTTGGGCCTTTGGTGGGGTTTAGGTCAGGAACTAATTGTGTCTCTGCTGAGACCTCTTTTTTTTTCCCCTCCCTCTTTTTTTTTTCTATGGAGACTTTTATTAATTAAGAATTCCTTTTCCATTTAACCATAGTTCTTTGATCTCTAAATAGTTCTAAAAAATAATAGTTCTAAAAAAAATAGTTCTAAAAAATCTTTTGATCTCTAAATAGTTCGTGTGTCCTCATGTGAAATCAGGAACAACTCATTATATCTGATCTTCTTTTGTTTTAAATTTTGATGGTCAAAAGTTGAGCACAGGTTGGAATATCCCTGCAGGTCCTACTTGAGCTAGCTCAGAATTGGAGTTAAACCAGCACTGACCGTATGGGACTTGTTTTATAACGTCATCGTAGGCAGTGGGGACTCTTTTCTGGAGTTGGGTTCAGTGCTGCTCACTTCTGATTCACATCCTGCCGCAGTTTTTGTCACGTTATGTGCCAACAGAGGTATGTGCAAGTCGTCCCCTTTCTTAAAATACTAATATATGTCATTCTGTTCTGCTGTTTCAGGAAGCTGAAGCACTGGCAAAGCAGCAAGCATGAATTTCAACTGCCTTAAATGTTCTGTAAAGGGAATTTCCACAGCTTTTTATACAATAGTCCAATTGTCTCTGCTTCAAGAAATGTAGATGTGATTTCTAACGTTCGATTGGTGCTTGCAGCGTCCACCGTATCTAAGACAAATTTGAACACAAGATGAAAATGGGAATATAAAGGTTGAGAGTACAGAGTGTGTTCTTACCAAGTTGGAAAGGTAGGAAACTGAAGCAATTAGACAGGAATGATTTTCACGTAGTTTAAACTCTTTTGGCAATTCATTCATTTTATGTAAACTTCAAGAAACTATTTTAATACTAAGAATACAAATGGGGTTATACTGAGAAATCCAACTATTTAAAATATGGAAAACAAGCAACAGCACCTAAAACCTTGGCAGATACTAACTGCAGTGCCTGAGTTGCCTCCAAAATATTACTGAATTACCCAGATGAAATTACTGAATTACTGCCTCCAAAATTTTACTGAATTACACAATTTCAGATGAATTTGTAGGTGGTATCGTGTAGCATAGCCATTGTAGTCACTTTGGAAAGTTGTGTTTGTTCTTTTGTACAATGGATATTTAAGATTTGTATCGTGACACGCTGTACAAATGATTAAAAAAGAAAACAAACCCCCAAATCATGCCATGTATTCCACATTTAAGTGATCCGTGCGGGCTCTTTTGACAAAGAAAAAGGGATTTGGGCAATGGGACAGCCTTTCCGTTAGCAAATTCATCACGCAGCTGCCTAAGCACGACTGGATTACACGTCTGTGTGCAAGACTCAGTGCACCTCAGTGAAATACGCCCTAATTTTATGTTGCAAACAAGCCAAACCAGCCAGCAATGGCATTTCCTTACCTGTGTAAGGGTGAAAGCCTTTAATTTCTCTACAAAAAAAATACCAGTTCACACTGCTTCTAGCATTAGGCATCTTATTGCATGTTCAAGTAGTCATTAGATTCCTACAGTATTTTTTCAAACGAGGGAAATAAATGTTTGAATTGCAAAAAATTATTGTTAACTAAGCAAGACTTTTTTTTTTTTAAGGTTTTTTTAAAGGTTTAAAAACTTATTTCCATTGTTACTGCCATATCATGAAGCTACTACAGGAATCACGAATGGAGAAGTGTCTCGTATCGGTGAATTTACCACGTGCAATATTAACCTGTCTGTTCTCCCAGCACTCATGAGACAGGCTGTATTTCTTGGCTCTAATTTTTTTGCAAAAAATAGAAATAATTACAAGTGAAGTGCCCTGAAGGATAAGAAACAAGTTTCAAAAGCATGTGGGTCATTTAAAATGCATTTTGCGCCACGTAATGTACTTAACTCCCCCAAAGCATCAGAAGACAGTAAGGAAGATAATTAGTCCTCGCAGTAGTTCAGAGGATCGTTCTAATAGCTCTGCTCACACACAGTTTGATTTCCTTTGCTTTATGAAGACAGAGGAACAGGTGATCCAGATCCAGATCCAGGCTGAGGTGTAGCAGCGCCGTGTGGTTATTTCACACCGATGCTGTAAAATGTGCGCAGCGCTTTTAAAATCCTTCCCGAAACAGATTCATAGTTTTAAAGTCTGAAATGAAAACCGGGATAAAAGTAAAAACGTAGGTTTACAAAGATGTTCTGAAGTGCAGTAATTAAATACGTCCCTCGCCATCATTTCTTTGGGGCTTTTGTTCCACTCACTGAAGAAAAGAAATGCAGCTGCTGCTTTGGGGGGAGAGCAGCTCGTGGAGTGATCCTGATAAAACTTCCAGAGCCCGGAACGGAGACAAGTCAGTTAAAATAACATTTAATTCATGTTTTCTCTGTTCTGATTTGAGAGCCTGGGAGTCAGTTTGAAGCCTGTCCTTACAAAAGCAAGCACAGTATGGAAAAGGAGTAAGGATGGATTGATGTTGCCTTACCTTCAAGATTAACACACACGTTTGTGCTTTTTTTCATTAACGAGTTTTATAATGACTGAAATTTTGTGAGATTTATTTTTCAGATCTTTTGGGGATGGGAATTAGGTTCTGTTTTAAATCTAGTGTCTGGTTTTTGTCGTTGGCTACCATTTCCTCTTTCTGAACCGAGGTGATTTTTGTCTTTCTTAATACTGGCACAATCTCCGTGTGTCTAAACTGGTGGTCGAGATTTTGAGAAAGTATGTAAGAAACTAAGTGGAGTCTTGTAAAGAAAGTGGAATTTGACACAAATTCACTATACTCATGCCCATTTGCTGTGTTTCCTGTGTCAGGAAAGCACGGTGTAAGTGTTGTGAATTACAGTCATTATTTTTGAGAAGCCGTAATTGAAAGTTGCTGCCAAATTCTGTCAGTTCGGTGACCCAAAACATTCCCAAACGAGGTCAATCTCTGTTTCTGACAATCAAGAAAATTGCCGAGTTTAAGAAAGCAAAGTCACTTCTCTGCCTGGTCCCCCCCAACTCTTGCCATATGGTAGCGTTCAAACTGTGTCAGCATTCCGAAGAGAGCTCTGTTGAGAGAACACTGAATTATTTCTTTGTCCAGGGAACAAGACACCAACACAAACTGAAAAAAAATACCCCAAAATCTCTCTTTTGTTGTGGGACTCTGTGGAAAACTTGGGTTCGTTTTGATGCAGGTACTTTGCATGAATTTAGGAGTGCTTGGAAGGCGTTGCCTGTTCGCTGGTTTTCTGTTTCCCGTACCTGCCTTGGGTTGATGATGGGCACAAGAACAGAATTTGTTCATTTCTTCTTCTTTTTGTTGTCGTTTTTCCTATGTAGAAGGCAAGCATTGAGGATTTAACCTGTCTATTAACCATTCCTGTATCATTCCAATAAAATTGTTTTAGAATGCTTTCTCACACCTGTGACTTGTTTGCATGTTTTGTTCACAAAATGGTCCCTGAAATTGAAAAAAGTGGAGTTTTTCAAGTGAAAATAGGGTTTTTATTTTAAAAGGAAGAGGATGTGTACAAGGAAGCGAACACAATGCTGCTGCTGCACCTTGAGTCTGCTGGGTTGGATCTCTCACCTGTTGCGACTGATGGGTTTTAATTACTTGGGATTCACCTACACAAAATAGACTCGGGGGTTTCAGGAGAGCACTGAATACATTTCCTCATTAACCTGCTTTCCCACTTTTTCCCCCCAAGGCAGTTACAAATGGAACGCGGCCGGGACACATCAGCTTCACCCCGTGCCTGCAGAGTTTGCCAAACACTCTCAGTTGCTTTTTGGGTTTTTTTTTGCAATGTGTAATTAATTAGCTTTTATCCTCCTCATAGCAGGGGAACGAAGTTATTTAATATTTGTGTTGCCAGAGGGCAGTGTAGGATAAATATTTAAACTGAAACTATTCATTTTTTACCTCCTCGCTTTGCCTGGGAAGTCCAGCAGGTACATTCTGAAGAGAAGGACTTGGGAGTGGTGGTGAATGAGAAGCTGAACACGAGCAGAGGCCAATAACCGTGTCCTGGGCTGCACCCAGAGCAGCGTGGGCAGCAGGTGGAGGGAGGGGATTCTGCCCCTCTGCTCCGCTCTTGTAAGGCCCCACCTGGAATACTGCGTCCAGTTCTGGAGCCCCCATCACAAGAGAGACCTGGAGCAGCTGGAACAAGTCCAGAGGAGGCCACCAGGATGATGCGAGGGCTGGAGCAGCTCTGCTGTGAGGACAGGCTGAGAGAGTTGGGGCTGTTCAGCCTGGAGAAGGCTCCAGGGAGATCTTATAGCGGCCTCCCAGTACCTGAAGGGGCTACAAGAAAGCTGGGGAAGGACTTTTCATAAGGGCAGTTAATGACAAAACAAGGGGAAATGGGTTTAAGCTGAAAGAGGGGAGGTTTAGATGAGATATTAGGAAGAAGTTCTTCACTGTGAGGGTGGTCAGACAGTGTCCCAGGTTGCCCAAGGAAGTTGTGGCTGCTCCTCCCTGGAAGTGCTGAAGGCCAGGTTGGATGAGGCTTTGAGCAACCTGGTCTAGTGGAAGGTGTCCCTGCTGCTGGCAGGGGGGTTGGGACTGGATGATCTTTAAGGTCCCTTCCAACCCAAACCAGCCTGGGATTCTATGATTATTTTTCAGCTTTACGTGCTCAAGTTTTGATCTTCTGTAGATTTAGAGAAGGTGCATTCTCAGCCCTTAAACTGCAGTAGGATTTCCCCAGATCCCAGCCTTCAATCCCCATCCTCTGAAGGAACCCAGTCAATTAATTCTTTAAAGCCTGGTTTGCAGGAAGGCTGCTTACTTGGCATTTATAGGATCGACTTCTTTTTTCTGTCTGAACAACTAAAGTACAACCAAGAGCCGTCAGGTACATCCACATCTTTTAATGGTGTTTATTCCTCGTCTCTCACTCTTATTTCTCCTTCTTTAGTCTTAAAAAATAGTCCCTAATGTAAGAGAAAAGGGCTCCTGATGCCATTTCTGATGAGAATGAATCCCATTTACCTTCCCTGTACATATATTTGTATAACCCAGAAAAATCTTTGATTTTCTTCTTTTTTTTAATAAAAAGTCTTAAAATACCAAATCATTCTTCATTCATGTCAAGCTCCACACAAACAGTTTTCATAAATCTGTTTAAAAACCAAACTGCAGGTGCGTGTATAACGTGTGCTTAACGTGCTGTTGCGGGTTACAACGGCGTGCGCTGTCGTAAGAAACTTTTCTACCAAGTAACGTGGGGTTTTAGTAATTTCTTATTTAATATTCTTCATCTGTATATCATGGAAAATTCTGATTTAGAAATTTCTGAAAATTTCTAAAGTCTGATGAGATCATTCAGCTCGTGTTGCACGTATTTCAAATACCAGAAATGTCTTGCAATACAAATTCGAGGTGGGTAGAGTGGAAATAGGTGCCTGCTTGTCTCTTACTGAGGGTCAGTTCAGGTTAAATTCAGAGATAAAGCCCTGAATGGGTTAACTTGAGGTTAATAATAATAAGAAATAAGACTTACCAAGAACAATGTCATTAAGTTGTTGGTTTTTTTTTTTTTTTTCCAAGGGACTAATTTAAATCCGTTAACTTAATAGATTCAGACTCATCAGTAAACTGTGTTAAGAGCTTTTTATCAGACCTCATCTCTCCTGTGTTTTCCCCTTTATAGTAAGATAATTTTAAGAGCCAATTTGAAAAGAAGCTCAGACAACTCATTACCTGGGAACAAGCCATTAAGGTTTCCTGATTTAGGGTTTCCTCTTTTGCTAGTTTTGCTTTCTCAGGATTTTTCTGTGATGTAAATACAATGGGAAAGCCTAGGAAGGCATTCTGTGCTCACATTTCCCCAGCCTCTGATCGTGAGCTGATTCACGGTGTAAGGAGAAAAAAGTGGCATTTATTTATTGCTCATATCAGTGTAGCCAATTCTAGATCTTTCTTCCACCTTTCCCTTTCTCACAGAGATCATGACAGCATCTGTACTTGGTTTGGAAATGGATTACACTTGGTA